GCGAGTCACTGCTATTGATGCATAGCCTTGATGCATCCCTTGGCCTGAGCTCCATTTTTCATAGTGATAAAAATCAAAATGCCCTTCACCACACACAGTCAAAACCACACCAACAATAACAAGCATTTTCTGCAAAGAAGCCAAAAGAATAGCTTGTGACAAGTATCCAAAAATGTCATGCTGCCTTTGCAAAGAAACAGAAACAGAAAGTGACAGGTAGATAGATGAAACAGATGTGTTTCTTGACAAATTAATAGGAAAGCATCCTGCAATCCTCTCTTTCTCCTGTCCTTTTGCAGCATCCGGGGTCCCACTGACTGGCCAGGACTGACTTGCTGAGTCACTCCCTGGGCTGGGAGCTGAGACACTTCAAGTAACTTCAACCCAACTCACAACACAGGAGCACAAACAAGGGAACCACACAGGTGTAACTTAATTTCAAGGTCCATTAGCAGCACAAAGGGGGGAAATTGTACTGCCAAGTACAAGCCCTGGATCTCAGTGGGGACATTATTCATTTTCAATTTTCAAATGGTAAGAATAATATGATTGTTTTTGGTAAGAACAGCATCCAAGTTCAAATAAATTTTATTTCAACTCCAAAAGCAGGAATACATTTTGCATGTTGCAACTGACTTTTAAGAACTACAAGGCTGACTAATGTTTTAGCTAAAAATAAGTACTTGAAAACAGTCACCTGCCTTGCGCCTGTGCCTCCAATTTGTGATTGTTTCCCAACTGACCTTGCAATTCTAAACGGTCACAACATAAAGCAGATATTACCATACATTCTGGGTTTCAGCAAACTGTCTACTCTGGCTAGTTACTCAGCTGATGTTGAATGATATCCAGTTATTGAGAATATCAATACACCCCCCCCCCACACACACACACTCCTCTGTAAAGAGCTACACAAGGTCCCTGTCCTCCCAGACATTACACTCTGGAGTTGCAACCATCACATTCTATGAAGGCTCTACAGGACAGAAATGCCCATGTGAAGCACAGTCGTGACCAACAAAATGGGAATTCCACTTCTTAGGCGGTATCTGCTGAGCTCCGAAAGAGAAATGGGATACCAAGTTCCATTCCCAAGCAAATCCCATAAATAGAAATGGAGATGAGAAACTATCAGGAAAAATGCCTCATGGTGGTAAAACCAAATGTTGTCTCCTTTGGTATAATCCAAACCCTGGGAACAGTATTTGAGTGCTTTTAACAAGTAGGGCTTTGACCATGACACTATGGGCAGAACAAAGATGAATCAGACACTGTCCTGGTCCTCAGAAGGGATTTCCATTGTCAGCTACCTAGACTCTTACCTTCTTCCCCATCAGGTGCATGGCAAAGAACAGCAGGCCAGCTTGCGTTCACTCCACTTTGTTGTCCAAGATCACAAAACTAGATAAAAGAAGACTGGGTCTTTCCAAAAACCAAAGTATCATCCTGAAATTAGGTATGTTTGGCAAGGAAGCATTCAAACCCCCTTGGGGAGTAAATCTGGAAAATTAATGTAATGTGTGATTGGTGGAAGGGTGGAGATTTTCAAAATTCTGCTTTTTCAGTGCTTGGATTCCCCTTCCTTTCCAACAAGATAAACAGCTCAGAATGCAGTTCAATGTGATTCTCTATTTTAATAAAGTTCATTTATGCTTAAGTTTCTCTAGAGGCATATTCACTTTCGTATTGAGAAAAGCCCAAGAGTGATAAATGTAGGGGGAGAAAAGTTATTTTGGAAAAGTCACATAGAACACAGCTCAACAGAGGAAGGAACAGGGAACACATACACACACGCACGCACACACGAGCTGTCCCTTCAAAGAAAATAAATTTAAGGAACTTAAACTTCTGCTATGAGGCAGTTTATAGCCAACCAGAAAATATATCAGCAAGCAATAAGACACAACAGTAAGCAATCAGAAACATCAGTGAGCAATAAGACACCAGAGGAAGCAGTAAAGACACACCAGGGAGAGCATTTCTGAGCAATTACCACATGTCTTAATGCAAGAAGGGAGAAAGAAAAACTTCCCTTCGCTAGGATTGGAACCCCATAAAAATGAACTTTCGCCTAGCTTGAGAGCCATTCTGGAGATAACTAGATGGGTCTGAGGACTGACAGCACAGACACAGATGAAGAGAGGATAGATTAGTAATGAGAGATTGCTCAAGAGTAAGGACTGTTGGGCTAGCTCTACGGCCTATGGTTAAGGGAGTTGGATCCCACATGGCTGACTACAGTTTGAACCCTAGCCCAGGTGGCTTGAAAACATGCTGGGTACATGCACATCAGTGTCCATGATCCCAATGAGATGAAGAAAAGGAGGAGAAGGGATTATGCTTTGACCATGCCTCACTGCTGGGTCCTTTCTCCCTCTCCTTCTCTCTCTGGTGAGCATACACATCCTCTAACACAACACTTCAAAAAGCAAGGAATATTGACTCAAGTCTTCATCCTCTTTCTGGGACCCTGATCTACAGAGTTGGCAAATAGTTAAAAAAACAAAAACAAAAACAAAAACAAACTGACAAGATATAAAGGACCCTCCAACATCTGGGAGAAGTGAAGGAGGGCACTGGCACATCAATACCCACTTGAGTGAACACAAAGACAGAAACACATCTGCATGCTCACACAGAGGGGCCAGCTTTTACAAGGGCCAGGAAAGGGGCAGACAGTGAGATATAGAGAACTCCCTCAATCAGGGTATTAAATAACCCAGGAAACTCTTTGCTCGCCTTCTCTAGGGACATTGGAAAACAGTAGCACCTTTTTGCACATTCATCCCCTTGAATGATTTCCAGATGGAACTAGGACAGAAGGAGCAAATCCTCAGAACTTCTTCTCACCAGGGTGCTAGTGGCCTTAAGCTGAGCTCTGGGAAGGTCAGTATCAATGGCTGCCCTACTCCAAGTACCTGCACTCAATAAAACCCATGAGACCACTTACTTCTTGTAGATACTAAGATTAAGTAAAATCACGTACCTAGGATGGTCAGGAAGAGTGGCCAGTCTTAGTGAATGGTTGCATGTTATTTTCCTAATGGCTCTGAAAACATACTGAAGAGCTATTTGTTAACTGAGTAAACTCTAGTAGCTCAATACACAGCACCAGGATCCCATTGGAAAGAAGTGGTCACCGCTCCCTCCTGTTACATTCCCAGAGGTCTACCCATGGACTTGGAGCCCAGGCTGCTAAGACTCTCCTCTGTGAGCCTGGCACACAAACAGGACAGTCAGAGGCAACAAGGTACCATATTAGGGAAGAGAATGATCATGGACACAAGTAAGCTAAGGGCAGAGGCAAGAGGGGCAACAAAGTTAAAGACAGAATCCCCTTCCTCACCTCTGGAAATGCAGTAACTCTGAACTGTGATGACCTCAAATAGGACCTTCCCTGCAGCATCCTCTACTGGGGACAGGGTGGGGGAGTAGAGAGTGGAGAGGCATGGCTTCCATTTATTAATAAGCAGCTCAACACAGTGGGAGGTTTTCTTGTCTAATTACAGAAGCTGTTGGAAGCTGTAGGGAAGACAGGATTTATGGCCTAGATGACACTGTCTCTGTGTTGTAATTAAAAGTTATTTTTAATACTTTTTTTTGGTTAGATACTTGGAATATTTTGAAATCCATTTTGCAATTTAAAACTTGCCGGAGGGCAAAGAATACAACCAAAAGGTAATACAATCAGCTTGCATAAAGTGTAACAATTGCCTGTTTTGACACTGGAAGGTGGGAAAGGAAAAGAATCCGTTCTGCTTAATTCTGTGAATTTTTTAAGAAAGAGGAAGAGAGGAAGAAACAAGTTAAAAAGTGGGTGAAATTTGATTTTCAGAACTTCAAAGGTGGGTCAAGTTCATGGTGTGATGGTTAAAGTGGCTGGATTTCTCATGCCCAGCTGCACAATTCAAGTTCTAGACCCAGCAGGTTGAGAAACAGGCCAGGCATGTGTGCATACATGCCCAAAATCCTGAAAAAAAAAGGAAGAGTGGAGGAGAAGGGATGGTGGTGTGATCATTCCCCATAGGGGGTGCTTTCTCATTTTTTCTGTCACTGTCTTTCTCCAGTAAGTGCACATGCCCTCTGCCCTCCCACTCCCCAAAAAAGCTTTAAAAGTAACCCAGCTATTTACTTTATCCATTAACCAGGGTTTGGATTCCCCCTACCAGAAGTACAGGGGGCATGTTCACCATTCACCCAAAGCACCTAAACCTCATCTTCAGACGCCTTGCTTTGTCCTCAGTCCTTAGGAAGCAGTGGTCACCCTAACAAGGGTATCTCTATCAAGTAGAAAGATCCAGGGGCTGACCCCAAGACAGTGTGATGACAGTAGGGGAGGGTTCCACTGTCAGCTGTGGACAATAACATGCTCATATGATTCAGGTTTTATCTTTAAGCCATTTCCCTTCTTCCTTCCAAGATTCCAGTTCCAAGAAGAGGTCAGACAAAATGCATCCCAGCATAAATTACAGGATGGTGTGCAGGAATCTAGACAGAGTTAATCAGGGCCATTTATTTCCTAAACGTCATTTCAAGAATTTCTATTTCTTCACATGTAACAAGAAGGCATTTTCTGCAACAGTGGCTCTTCTTATCCACAAGGAGATGAGAATCTACTACTATGTGCAACAGGCTCCTTAAATTTTCTGATATGAATGGGGAAGTACAAGAAACTCAAAATGACATAAGCTTCTCAAATAACGTCTATATTTATTCATCTTATCCAGGCTATGAATGTCCTTGTTAGAAGTGAATTCTAGGGCCTCAGTCTATGCAAATGTGTCACAGAAACCACCAGCTATTAGATATCACGATGAGACTAAAAAGGCACTTTAACATCTGGTATTCAAAAATAAATTTAAACTTATTTTTACAATGGACACACCAAGTTTATGATGTGTATACTATACCAGTGATAAGAACCACTGTGTCCCTTTATTCTTTTCCTAGTTCAAAGCAGGATTTGACTCCATGCCAGGGCACAGAGTTGCCATCCTTACCTGCCACATTAATTTTCTCAAGTGCTACCAAGCTAGGAACAGCTGTGGTGGAGTTGGTAGAGTTTGTTCCTGTGCCGTTGATAACAAGATTGTCCACCTTTGACTCCAACTTGCCAATGCGCTGCAAAATATTATCCAACAGGACAGCAAGAGTTTTCTTCAGGTCTGTAAAAGAAAATGTAGATCATTTAAAAATCCTTTGGCCTCTGCGTATCTGTCTGACTCTAACACATAGAACATTTCTCAAAAGTTCCTGAAGTGGCACAAAAGACCTGTCCTAACAAATCATTTTAAGAATGACAGGGGCCATCTTCCACTGGCCCAGATCCTGCTAAACATTCAGTCTATTGTAGAATGCACATTTGGCCATGAGTGGCATGACAAGATTATTTCCAGTGTCTAAGTTGACAGAAGCTCTTTGTCACTTAGCACACTACCACACCCCTCACTGTACTGAATTCCTCCTCCTTTCAGCACTGTGGTTACTGACACACAAAATGACAACCCAAAGGTATAGCAAAGTCCCAAAGTGACTTTGGGATCAAGTTCATTGTAATTTTTAGTATCGTGCATCACAGCATGTCCCAATTATTCTGAAAAGTGTTTATTTCTATTGGTTCCATTTAGTGACACCTAATAAATGTCACGGTTCCAGACTTCCAGGTATGCTAGATAACTGAGTTGACAATAATCAGATTTAGTAAAATCCTTTAGATCAAAGCTGGAATCATTCATTTGTTCACACATACTTACTCAACAACTACTACGTGCCAGCCATCATTCTAGATACTGGGGATATTCTGCCATGGTGCTTACATGTAAGCGGCGACTTCCCTTTCTTACACAACTGACTATACATTATCGCATGTCCCTCTAGATAAATGAGGAGCAGTCTTTGCCCCACACAAGGGCTGACTAAGTCTGTACACAAGAGACTTCACAGAGAGAGAGACAAATTCTGACTGTCATGCCTAGAAACTCATGATCAAAGACAGACATACAGACTTGGATGTATTGGAAAGGCAGATGGGCAACAGGACAGCCATCACGTGGACAGGATCTAGACCCAGTTATGAATCAGGAGTGACCAGGGGAGAAGTGCACAGGATGGCAGGCGTATGCAGGAAAGTCCTGAGTTAGGACAGATGAGAAGTTGCCACCTTCCATTCTGTTGGGAGCAGAGCAAACTCGCCTCTGAGCGAGCACTCTGATCTGGCCAGGAATCACACACGCACACACCAGCCCAGACCACAGCCAAGGCTGCTCAGCGAGGTTGCAGTGCAGTAGTCCCATCTTGCCACATGAAGAGAGAAACTCCTAAGAACAGAGGCATGGGAGTTGTTGTTCTAAGTGTTTTATAGACAGTATCGCTTGAATGGATAAAAATCCACAAATAGAAACAAACGCACATTTTCATCCTGAGAGTCTGATTCTTTTTATCCTGAAAGTCTGGACTGGCCATAATCTTCCCTTAATGACAAACCTGAGAGTTCTTCACCATTAAGATCGGTAACAGCTTGTTCATTTGTTCATCCTCACAAATGCCTGACCAGTTCCACTCTTTGCTCTTCAGCATGTATTGTAAACATCTGTATATTTTCGATATATGATGATGTTTGGACATTTTGAAACCCTTTCTAGTTAAAGAGAGACTGCCCCTCTGGGAGCTAGTCAATTGTTAAAGACAACAAAGGGTCCCGCCCCTGGATCCTATTTCTGATCTGCACATGCACCAGCCCAGAGCTGCGCCCCATCCGCCTGTTCCAAGAATCACAGGAAACGATGCTCCTCTGCCTTCAGAATCACAGGACCAGGCAACTAGAAACCACCTCTAGAGTCTTAAACTTCCTGAAATTATTCACACCAGCCAATCCTAAACTCTTCCCCCTTTTCTATGGAAGCTATTAAAGAGTTGAGCCTAAATCCTGCCCTCACTCTTACCTTTACCCTGAACACTCAGGTGTCTTCCCAATGTGGCCCTGGGTGCTCTCTCTCCTGTCGCTACAAGTTGTGAGGATAATAAGCTTCATTTTCCTGAGATCCTCTTATGTCCCTTTTTGTAACCACAGCTAGCTATCTCATAAAAAAAAGTACAAAATGTATACAACTTAGCCACAGCACTGGAGCAACAGAGTTAAAAAAAACTATTGATTGTAATACAAATGGTGGACAGGAACTCATGTTTCCTGAATGCCTGTCATATGCCACACATATATATAAGATATTCCACTTCATCATGGGCACATCCCCACCGGGTAGGTCTCAACCCATTTTACAAATTAAACAACTGAAGTTCGCAGACATTAGGTAACATGCTGGTGGTTACAAAGCTAATAAATCAGAATGAGAGCTTGGTTCAGGTTTACCGAGTGCCTGATGCCTCACTAGGGCCAGTCATAACAACAACCTGGGTGGAAAAAGGAAACCAAATGTGAAGTTCAGTTGTTAAGGGCCTGAACTTTGCAGCCAAACTTCCTGGGTCTGAGTCCCGACTCTCCAATTTCTATTCCTTTACGTGCGAAAGAGTGATATGAGAAAAAGCTTCATTAGGGTTATTATGAAGACTTTGTGAACTAATATTTATAAAATGTTTTGAACACTGCCTCACACATAATCAGCACTGTGTAACTGTCAGTAAATTAAAAAATACAAGAAAACTTTTCTCTAGAAAATGCTTCCTGAAGCAATCTGTCCTCAGGTGATGCAAAGTTTTCTGGCTTTATCTGCTGGGCTATGATGAGCTCACCCTCCTCTGGAGTCAGTATGACTCAGTCTGTCAAAGCCATGTCATTAGCTGGCATGGACAGTGGGAGGCGGCCACCCACTCTGCTCTATCACCAGTTCTCCAGAGTTCTGAAAACTGCCAGAGGCCAGCCATGCGGGGGCACAAAATCAAGCTGCAAGGTAGCAATGTTCAGAATGAAGAAACACTTCTCAGAGAATACGGCTGCCCCATCTTCAGACACTCTGCCTGGAGCCTCTGTCACCAGCCAACTAGCCACTGTGTTAAAATTGCATTCAACTTTTACGGGCAGCTGTAGCTAGCCAGAAGCAGAATATCTGGCCCTACCCCAGGGTCTCTCAGCCTCAAGACTAGTCACATTTTGAGCCAGATACTTCTCTGTTGTGGGGGGCCCCTCCTGTGCATCACAGGCTGTTTGCATCCCTGGCACTCTCCACAAAATAACATCAGCAATTTCTCTTCTGTTACAACCAAAAATGTCTCCAGACATTGCCAAATCTCTCCTCTTTTTTCGGAGTGTGGGGGGGAGGTTTTTGCTATAGGGTGCATGTGCTCGCCAGAAAGACAGAGACAGAAAGCAAGAAATCATCCCCCAGGGGGATGGCCACGCCACAATTCCTTCTCCTCTACTCTCCTCTCGGGATCCTGGGGACACATGTACACGGGCCCACGTGAGTTTAAGTCATCGGGCCTGGGACTCAAACCACTATCAGCTACATGGGAGTTCAGTGACATAGCCATTATGCTGGTCCCAATTCACACAAGGTGAGAAGACCTCAGTGAGTTTATGGCATGTGCCAGCCCCACCCACTAGGGGCGCTAATGAAAAAGCAATGGGAGAAGCAATGGGGAGTCTCCTCCAGTACAAGAGGTAAGAAAAGATCAGTCAACACCAATGGGCTCTCAAGAGCTGTTAGTGTTTGGAACCATGTTAACAGGTAACAGGACAGCAGGGCAGCGTCCCTCCCCTATCCCCGCCCTACCACACAGTTACTGGTAAGTCACTGGTGAAACATACCCTAGGTAAGATACAAGATTGTCACATTTACAATTAAGAAGACATTTTCCCTCATTTCTGAAATTATAGTCTGCCAGAAACCTACTGACACTACTGGACAGAGTGACCTTCTATGACTCTGATGTGGTGTGAATAAGGGAATTCCTGATGAATAGGAGGAATGTTGATACTCGCCATCCTGACTGCCGTCATCATTTATTCCACTCTTTTTATGTGCCAGTCACTGTCCTAAGCACTTCACACAGGTTGACTGATGTAATCATATCAAGACAATAGGACCAATGTGTCCTTGTTTCCATCCCCATTCACAGATAAGTAAACTATAGCACAGAAAGGCAGTTACTCGCCCCAGGTGATTTTAGACCCAAGATTCAAACCCAGAAGTTCCACGGTAATGATTCTTACCCACCACGCTACACTGCCTCTTTCTTTTTTATATTTTCATTTGACCAGGGAGAGACAAACAGAGAGAGAGAGAGAGAGAGAGAGAGAGAGAGAGAAGAGAAGGGAAGTGAGAAAGAAAGCCACCAGGTCCAAGACTCGACCGCAGTCAGCCATGTAGGAAGTCCAGTGCTTTAACCCCACCACACCACTTGCCGGCCCCTTTACACTACCTCTTTAAAACATGTTAGCATTTTCAATGTTGTAAAAAATTTCAGTGATTGCATGTAAAAAAAAAAAAAAAAAAAAAAAGATTTTTTTCTGGGACCAACAATTAGTGTAATGGCTATGTCGCTGGACTCCCATGTAGTAGACTTCAGTTTTGAGTCCTGGACCTGGTGGCTTAAATCATGCCAGGCGCACGTGCATGCATGCTCAAGATCCCGAGAAGAGAATGGAGAAAGGATTGCAGTCTGGCTATCCCCCCTGGGAGGTGACTTCTTGCTTTCTGTCTCTGTCTTTCTGGCAAGTGCACATGCCCTATAGCAAAAATCTCTCAAAAAAAATTTAATTCAGTAAAGATCACATATGGTGAAGTTTATCAGGAGTAAAATATAAGCTCTTTATGTCAACCCTAGTCAATTTTGTTGGTTGTTACTATAATTTTCTCTTCCAATCTTCTACCATTTGACTTTGAAAAATAACCTTTTTGGAAATAATAATTAAATAAAAACCACCATGGACCCGTTTCCCAGCAAGCAGCTCAGACTTGTACTTCTTATAAATCTCCTTATCAGGGGTTAACCTCTAGAATTCTGCCATAGGCTCTGGTTAAATCACATCCCAACTATCCTGGAGCCTCTTCGAAGCCACTGTCCTGTAACAGCTCCTCCTCCCTGACCCAATGTCACTTCACATCAGTCAGCTGATGTTGAATTGGAGACTATCAGAGAAATCAAGTGATCTAAGACTTAAATAATTAAGAATCTGCTTTTCCATATCTTCTGCCTTAAAATGAAAACG